AGCTGATAAATTCACCATAAACACATAGGAAGGATTTGGGAAAGCTTTTGGAGGGGGCGGGGGTGTTCTGCTTTGTATTAGATAAACCAGACCAACACAGTTTTTGAAAAGTTGCTTTTATATTTCATTTCATGGTTGTAATGTGAAACTTCTAAACAGTGTTCCCTACTGACTTTTAAAAAAATGACTTGAAGAAATAGAGAAGATTACTCAGTGCTTTTACTTTGTCTTGACTGTAAATCTGCTTTAAAAAGGAGCACAATATCCTGATCAGCCGAATGAAGGGGTTGGGCTTGATAATCCCTAAAGTGACGGACTTCCAGCTCAAAAAATTCTCTGAATCTCCTTCCTTTTTACAAAAGCCTATTGCTTAGTAATTCCTCTGGAGAGAACTGGGCCTCTGTGGCACAAGTCCGGGGGTCACCATTCCCATTATATGTTGCGTGGGTGATGCTGTATGAACCAGGGCTTTATTACACAGAGCACCTGTGAATGGCTCCTGGTGTTTGGGCCACCAGTTTCTCTAAGTCAGCTGTTCTCTCAGTATTTTTAAAGCTAATGTTATTTGATCTATAATTTCATTTTTGAAGTATTATTCAAACAAGGTAGTGTTGGAAATAAAGATAATGGTTGTGATACTAAAATTAGAATTGACATTACTTAATGTTTACCGTTCACTATATGAAAACCTTATATTGCTTACCATCAAGACCATGTCAACCTAATTGTAACAAATGGTTTCTTAAGTTAATTAAATACTTTTTGCCCATGTGCTAATCTTTGACATTCATAGGAACTTTTCTGGAGGACAAGTGAAAAATCTCATGGTTTGTAGCAGTGGTTTATATTTATTGTTAACCAGCATTGCTCTATTGTGGTGTAACGTAGATTCTATAACCTCTAAATTAGCAAGGATGGTAAAGATTTTATGAATGTAAGTTGGCTCTTGAATGGAGTGGGCCTCTGGAGTATTGGCCTCCCTGCCTCCAAGCAGTTTTCCTGATTAGGAATGCTAAGAACCAGCAGGTTTCATTCCTAATTAACATCATCCTACCTCAGAAGTCTCCTATGTTCTCATTAAATGTACCCAGACAGTTTACCTGCTCCCTCCCCAACATTATCTGCCTATTCATTTTTCTCTTCTATGTTTGAGCCTTTTCACAGGAAGTTCCAGACTCTAAGAATAGCTTCACACTTCCTTCATCAAATCATAGCCTTTTAGCCTTTCCAGTTTTGGTGAAACAATCCTTTCTCTGGTAGATTTTCTCCAAATAGGCACATGGACTGGGATTCTTTGGACAGTCACAGTATTACCTGTGTCCATAGCAGGACTCTCAAATGGGATGGGTGTTCTGATTCCTTAGCTGGCGTATGTCTGAAATTTGGAGGGAAAGGAAGCAGCGCTTTCTTAAAGACTGAAAACCCTTACTGGGGTATGGAGTTGAAGATACGGAGACCCATCCTGTATAGTTGCTTGCTGTTAGGAATGCTGCAAATAATGGATAATAAATCTGTCTATAACCTGATCATTCTGTGTGGTCATCTAGAGTACAGACTTCTGTGGCTCCATTTTTTATGCCTTTGTTCATAATGCATACATATATATCCCACAGATATCAGGTGCAGAGCTAATAAAGAATGTGATGGTTTGTTTTTCCTCTAGATTGTAAGCTTATTTAGAGGTGAGACCCTGTTCTACTTGGCTGAGACCTCATAATACCCAGCAAAGTATTGGCATATGGCACTTCTAAACCCACTACAACCTTGTGATTGCACTATTTATTGGAGAATTTTCCTGGATCCCCAGAGGGCTGTAATAACTGATTTCCTCAAAGACCTTCATTATGAGGGGGAGCCACTGTTGTGTGGTTTCCCAGCCTGGACAGTACTGGAGAGGTACATCAGCATGGTAGTTGGTGATCCTGACATTTGGCATCTGGCTGGAGGCCTGCCCTGTCTGCCTAACTTAGTTTCAACTTTGCTAGTTAATTATAGTAAGGATATGATTTTAATAATAACTGGAATTTTAGGTCCAAGAAATACTGTTTTAAAAAATGCCGGTGTTTGTCATTAGTGTGGGTCTCAAGAGACATGGGTTTGGTTGATTCTGTGGTTGGTGCTTGATGTGTGTTTAGCATCCAGTGTGGGTTCATGAAGCACTAACAGATATTAGAATGAAAGTTCATGAACATCTGATAGCACTTTCCAGGATTGGAATTGGGTTTGAGAGGGCC